GATTAAAATAATACTGCGTAGAGTGCTGTCACTGGAATGGAGATCAATCCTCCTATCGGGTTATATATATATATATATATATATATACGTAAAAATGCATCAGCGGTTTAACAAAGGAATGGGATTGAGTTACGCGTCGTCTTTTTGACCATTCCAGCGATTGTGATTACTCATGGCTTTTCCATCACGTGAGTTAATAAAGGAAAATCCTCTTTCGTTGTCAAATCAATCAACTATTGATTAACGAAATTTTACTCGAAGTTATTACTGAAAAATTAAATCTGTGATAATCGTCCTTATAAATGAAGAAGGATCTCGTACGTGTTTTTATTCGTCACAATGATCAAGATTAGAAATCTAGTATCAGGTCAGATTAGAAACACATGTACCATGAAATCAATTGTCTCAACTCCAATTCCCCAATGGCGAACTTACTAGCGTGCAACTCTGTTACATGTAATGACTGAATCGTACGATCCCGGGCACATCGAACTGGATCGAACCTCTTGAGCCGTTGTTGGTAAGAGGTGTCTAATTGCTCGACCATCGCGTGCAACGCAAGTGCAATTAAATTCTGACTACGGAGTTATGTTGGTCATTTTAAACGTTTTCCCGCAGAAGCAAATTTAAGGTAAAAACACAAAATGACGAATATTTTTTTCGTTTGAAGATATCACGAATGCATAAAGAGAGATGCCCGAAATATACCTTCCCGTATTTGACGCACTAGAATCTTATTATACGGTCAGTTTTGTACACACCAACGAAGCTCATTCATATTTCACGAAAGTTGCATCCTATTTGAATATTGTATGGATAGATTTCCGCGGAAGCTGTATTGCTCACGACAGAAATAATGGCAAATTGTAATTTTCAGTGAGCCAATCCATGATACAGAGTCCCGTTACAATTTGAATTCCAATCTCGCCGTTCACAGCGATCGCTTTATCGCTATAATTAGACTCGTTCAATTATTGAACGAATGCATTTGTACGACAATGCCCACATTAACGGCAGCTTCATTATACATATGACTACATATTTGACGAAAATTATATTTCACAATATGAAGAAAACGTTTATCGAATATCTTTACGAAGAAATGAATGCGACACCCGTCCACAGAAAGAACGGTTCTGTTAAACGCTCAAAATAGTTAGCAGAATGTAGAATCAAAACTTTTTACAGCATCGATTATCGTATTTAAGTTTCCATTATTTTGATGGCCAACAAAATATTTTTCGTATCTATATCTACCTAAATTTTTAGACTTCAACAAAATCGTACTTTCGATGTTAATACTTGCGTATACGTATTACTATCCGTTAGCACGATTTAGTGACCATTTAGGATCGATCGACAACAAATTGCGAAGGTACCCGAGCTACGAAATTAATTGTCAGCCGCAATTTCCTGCTAAAAGCGTTGCTAGATTAAGATCCAAATGATTCACGCGGAATCGCAGTTATATTGGGATCGTCCGATTGATTCTGGCCTTTTTTAATTGTTCAATTCTCAATTTCGCGGCAATTATACACTGAAAAAATAATTTTACTGAAGTATCTAAAAATATCTTTATTAAATCATCAAAATAATTATGTATGGCACTCAAATATGATGAGCATCCTCTACAAAAAGTTTTAACATTCTAATAAGCAATTTAAATCCTACATAATTATTTTGATAGTCTAACAATTTTTAGATCTGTATTTAGTTAAATTTTTAGATATTCAGCAAAATCATTTTTCTCGTGTAGGTACCTTTTAACACGGCAAACTGAACCTCCTAATAATCACTGAAAGTATAGTTCAATGATCTCGCTCACATGTACGTAAAATTTACATATCGATAGCATTCTAGGGTTAAAAAGTTATGCATCACAAAATATCACAAAATCGATTTCATTATTATCAGAAAAGCGAGCACATTGAAATAAATTGCGTCGAACCTTCTTCGGATAATGTAAATGAAGAAATGATTAATGCCTAATAGTGACTAATTGTTTTAATGAAAAATTAGTGACTTAATTGTCAATACTGTCGCCGTATAAATCTGTTTAATGACTTTTAATATCGATCATTCCAAATCGGGACCTACCGTGAGAAAAGACAGATTAACGTTATGACCGGATGTAAGTCGTGACATCGGAAATCGTTAAAAATTGAAACCAGGCGCCAGACGATGTGGCAATAAATCGTAGGATTTAACGTTGAAGATACCGTACCGCAATGGATTCTTCGTTGCATATAAATCTAGTATGGTGTCTTTGCGGTAAACCCCCACGGTGCATTTCGCTGCAGCCATCGATTTGATCGTTCATCGTAAGCGTGGTATGTCTCGAGCACAATGCGAAGATTCGCTCGAGACGACTCGCCGTTCCTTCGACTCATCCCGAAAGTCGATCTGCGCGTTAGCTGTACCATAAATCGTCGTCCGCGATAAGTTCTTCTCGAACGCCTCCGTTCTATGGGAGATCTGGATTCTTTTCGAAAACATTCTACCGACGTTAATGTCTTTCATACATCACATCGAGCTATACAATATAATGGTCACGAAATGTCGGAATCGCTCTATTGTTTTAATTGCAAAACCTAAATTATTTTAATTAAACAAATTTATTAACATATCATTAAAAACAAAATGGAAGGATCTCATAATGATTTGTAAATCGCTCGTTATTTAATTTTCTAAATATTCTCATTATATACAATCATTACATATAACAATTATGTAACATACATTGAACAATTACAGAAATCTTAATGAGAAATAGTATTTCCAAAAATACAAGAGAAATTGTTATAATTATATCGTATGGAGAAAATGTTATTACTAATTATATCATAATCTAACTTTATAAAATGTATTTTTATCTCAGTTCCCACGTTTCGGAATTATAAATTTCGATCGTAATCAGATCGAGGTAGAATTTCTGGCAGACTTCAATTTTAATCCGTCCTTGAAACTACCGGGTAGTTAAAGTTAAACATCCGTTCTCATATCCTCGTCACAGAAAGACTGGCTCGCTTTCTGTGATAAGCGATCGATTAATTAGGAATCTTGTTCCGCCACGGCGGCGCGACGATGGCATCACGGTATGTAATGGCGGCTCTATACCGCGTAGCAAATAGTAATCTGTCATCAACTGTCCATACGAGACCTAAAATCTTCCGGAAGTGACCAAACCGATTTTGTGGGACACCGCGTGTGTCTCAAGATAATCCGTAACTAATGAATTCTCTTGTCGCTTAATCGCCTTCCACACCAATCACAAGGAACAGACGGCGTTCGTTACTGGAGGGCATAATTGCGGATAAATTTAGTAGATATGTTAGACCAAGACCGTAGCCGACTCACTCAGGAGATAGAAAATAAAGTGTAAGACCTATCTTTTTCATTACAGAAATTGTGAGACGGAATTTTCCGAGAAATGAATTTTTAAGTTGAAATTTAATACACACTTTGAATACATAATCTGATTATTATTATAACAGGATAATAATTTCCTCGTTTTATGTGTAGAGGTCTGTTCTGTAAATTTAATGTTTTGTAACTTTAATGAATTTGTAAGAACTAATCTTTGTCATACTAAATTTCAAATTTTTCCTTCATCCACTTATTTAAAAATTTTTAATCTCTGATATGAATAGTGAAATGTAAGTTCGTTCTTAAACGTTTTTTAGTCTTGCTATCACCATTGTTTTAACTTAAGCGTATAAGAACAAAATTGGGCTTAGCATTTGCAATTGGTGTTCTAGTTTGCGTCTGCAATTCTGTCTTGCATACTAAAATCCAATTTACGTTCTGTCGTTGTAAAGGATATGTAAAAAAAAACCGTAAAGGCTATTTGGCTTTAATTTCGTTACAGCGGTATAAAGACCTTTAATGAGTGCGACGATATTATTTTATGCTACAACCGTTGAGCTTTGTAACAACGACAGTTGGCCTCTATTTTTATCGTTTTGCTCGGTATTGTCGTAAAAATCTAAGATGAACCAATTTGCATAGCTTATTTCTTCAGATTATGCAACGGGGGACATTGTTTCACGCCATCGTTCAGAGGAATAAAAGTCGGGTTCCACCGCGCTGCATAATTCGCTCGTAAAGATAGGAAGAAAACGGTGCTTTCGAATGCTTCATAATGGCAGTTCCAAAGTGGTGCTTGCAGCACCGTTGTGTATTCATCAAATCGCGACACTTTTACGCGTTCTACATATATTTCCTGTAAAATATCCCATCTCCTTGATTTCCTCCCTCCCTTTCTATTGTGCGACGCGGTCGTAGAATTAAATTAAAAGGCTTTACAATAATATAGTGCATACTTTTCTATGTAAATTATTAATTGCAACATTAACAGTATTTCATCAAAAATACCAAACATTTACTCTAAATTCGTAAATAGTTCTGCTGTTACAAATTTTCGCGGAAAAACATGACGTTTTTCATATGAAATCTTATTATGCAAATAGTAAATTTTCACGTACCAGAGTTGGCATTTGTGTAAAAAATTTTACAACGCAATGTTCGCTTCTCGTTAGTTTGATATTTCTGGTTGGCTTATAATCATTTGTAATGTCAGAAAGATCTAATTTGTAGAAAGATGTCATTTGTCATGTTGCGAAAACGAATTTTAAATGACCGCCATGTAAAGTATAAGCAGCGTAGTGATGTTGACGTTCGCTATAAAAAATTCCATAAAAATTTCAATTTTCGCTAGCATGACACGAATGAATTGTAATCACCCACGATATCAAACGCTCGCGTTGTTATTCGTGGCGAAAAATGAAAAATTACTCGAATTTTGATAGTGTCACGTGTAAAATTTACACATCCAGTATCATCGGACGATCCATGTAATTTTCAGCCTTTGTGAAAATTTCTTTTGAACGATCAGTAACAATTTTACGATATCAAACGTACGTAATTCGCGGTGTTATTTGCGGCGCGTGAAAAGCTGTAAACTCGTACACATTCTGAATATTGTGATTTCTATGTTTCAGGTACGTATAATCGAGTCAAAATGGAATGCCGCTTCTCGGATATGACGTACGTGCCGCGAAACGTGAGTGTGGTCAGTGTGGTCAGACGGTGCCGGAGCGTTGTAACGAAAGCTCTCAGCTAATACTTTGTAAACAAAAGTAGAATGCAAATAAATCGTTTACCATACTACTTCTCTTGCTCTATGTCTCTCTCTTTCTCTTTCTGTATGTCTTTTTTTCTGTTCTCATTGTGCGCTTTTCTACAAGCCGCTACGTCATTACACGCAGATTGGATTTCCGCGCACGGTAATGGGGATTATTCGGATTACTTGCGCATACCGAAGCTCGCAATGTTATTTGCCTAATTAATACCCAAATCGCAATGCTTGCCACGCGGTGGTGGCCGCGCGCTTCGATCATGGTAGAGATCATTGAGTTGCATTGATTTTATCGACATCATATTGTGAGAAAATCAAATAATTATGTTAATCTTGGACGAACGTTTTGCATTGTTGCTTCGGTTTACTGCGCCGTAAACCTGTAATATTTGTATCGCTATGCCAATAATCACGTTCAATAAATATTTAGCCGCTTCGCTCGTCTATCGCTTTCAAGAAAATTGGCTTACTTTTTGCTTATTTAAATATTAACAAAGAGGGGACAAAATCTTGAAACTTCTCATTTTATTCTCCCGAGCAGTTATTATTAAGCTCTCATTATGATTTTATTATATAAACAATGAATTCAAAAGAGATTTCAATTTTGTACGATATACATCTTTTTTAAAATTTATATATAAATTTTAAAACAAAAAACGTAATTAAATATTATTTATAAATAATATTTAATTACGTTTTGTTTTAAATCTTCATTTGAGTATCTTACGCTTGAGGTAACATTTTAGAAAATTTCAAATCGCTAGAGACCTTGAATCGACGCGCCGAATCGAGACAAATCAATTTATCGGATGCTTATCTGTTATTCCGTCAGCGTGACAAACGCTCAATTTCAACGTTTTGAGCTCATCCATTCTATAAGCGGCATTTGCATGAACAGTCTTCCACACGCGCGCATATATATGCATACGTACACACAGGCATATCCGCTCGCAAATGTGCATTTATGTCAGTGTACTTTATCAACTACATCCCTTAACTACGTCCCTTAACTAGCGTGGTCGTGGGGGAATTAGGACGCGAGCCGACAACGACGACGAGGGTTTCCCGTATTTTCGCAGAGAAAGGCGATACGGCGCTCCTAAGTGACTTTATCCGATCCGATGGTCGTTCTCTTCGCCTGAAGTCGTGCGTTCCGGCTGGATCGACTTTCAGCTCTCGTGGGCCGTAGGGAGCGGCGAAGCACGACTTGGATCTTATAGCGGACTCCTGCCCTGTACAGGCTACTTAGATAAATAGAGCGGACGTGCACTCGATGTTAGGGAACGGGGCTGTGAGTGGAAAGTGATGGTTACCGAGTTAAACGGCAATGGAAATCGCGTGGAAAGAGAGATAAAGATAGAGAAATATAAAGAAAAGTAGAGAGAGAGAGAGAGAGAGAGAGAGAGAGAGAGAGAGAGAGAGAGAGAGAGAAGGGGGAAGAGAGAGAGGAAAAGAAAAAAAGTGAAAGGTGGTGAGTAGAAGCAAGCAGGCAACCGACGCCAGGAAGGTCGCCAGATTTGATGGACCGGAATAGACCATTACTCCACCTCAATCGAGTAGCAAATACTCCGCTCTCGAAAAATCCAGTAGCCTACTATCGATCCCCATGGTCCACGAAGGCGGCTTCTTCTCGGAACTACTCGGCTCCGTGATCCCCTTGTCCGGCAGACACTATCAACTTGGTTTCTCTAGTCCTCTTTTTTGTAATAATCTCAAACAGCCGCCGCAACTCAACGGCCCATGTAGTACGATTACATCCTGTCTGCGCTTTTTGCATCGCCGGCTTTATAAAGACCGGTAGCACTTTGCAGATCTTCCGGGTCTTTCGCGCGTCTGAAAATCAAGGATTTTCTAAACAGGAGCGCATTGATGGGTTTCAGCGAGACGAGTATAGACGCCAAAACTAAAGCTGAGAGCTTACATGGATATTTGCATCGCACTGGATCGCGGCTGGATTGTAATTCGGGTATTATCCATTGTTTTAGATCGGATCAACTGTATTGTGTTCAGCTGTGCACGGATTACATGGTACATGTTGTCTAATACGAGAAACGTATTAAATGTTTTGCATTCTTCAACCAAATTAGCGTCTATTGCATTCTGTATTACAGCTACAGAATTCGTATTTGTGTATATAATTCTACAATAGAACAAGAATTTTTTAATAAAAAATTTACGGCGCGTTAATGAAACTTTAATTCCGTTAAATGAGCGTATATTGAAGCAAAAAGGTATAGGAAATACATTATAGAAACATGCATATTAAAAGCTATTGTTTGATCCATTCAACCAATCTATTTTCCTTCACTGCGTGAGTACGCGTTAATGTATTCTGCGTAGTTCGAGTGCATTGGAAGCTATTGTTAATTCACAGAGGATGAAACAGCCGTTTCGCGATGTGTCCAGGATAGTACAGTGTTTACCGACAACATCACTATCACAACAATGGCATATACATTGAATTTTTAACATTCCGAGTATACAGATATCACGTACGCGAGGTACCGCTTGCATTTAATATCGCTCCACGAAGTATTCAATCGTTCGATCTTCTTCCTATCGTGACGTGTCGACCGCAGCCGAAAAGAGAAGCACGTTCGCTATGCAACGCGAAGAGGCTCGATAGACTACAATCTGTAAACTCTCTCTCGACCGCAGTGAATTTTTCATTCGCTCTAAAAATATCGAATTATCGTATCCGATGAAATGGAATTCATTTATGGATATTTAACTTCATTGCGTATTATAACAAACAATTTTTGTGCAAAATTTTTGTAGAATTGTTAATTTTAATGCTTTTTATACGAATATAAACTATAATTATATATATTTCCTTGAATACAATCACCAACGATAAAATATAAGAAACTCTTGCCATTATATTTATTTTCTGTATACAGCGCATTTTTACAAAAAAATTTTTCAATATGTTTTACATATTACATGCAAACTTATTTGTTATACAACGATCATTATGTGGTTTATATGTAGTTTATACAAGATATAAAATACGCGTAAAATATTAACGCTATGGTGATTAAAATTTAATGGTTTTAGAGCATCAAGTTCTTTATGTAATTCATTAACCGCTCAAGTTATCTCTTTGAAAAATTTATTACATCTAAAAGTTTGCTTGTTTTTAAATTATAAATAAGAATTTATAAATTATTTCTTACAATATTTAGATCCTTGCAATTAATTTGGAAATCAAATGACCTGTTTTTGTGTATTCACTAAACTTACATTATTAATAGTGTATATTCCACAAGCGATTATGTTATTTCAACCGTTAAATCAAGCAATTTCCATATTTCACATTTTTACATATAATATTAAAACCCGAACGTACTTTTTTTTTGTAGCAGGCTAGAAATTGACGTGAATATATTGAAAATTATACCGCGGCGTCGAACAATGGATTTTAACGCGCTATTCAAAATTTCATCAACAATGCTCTAATGCGACGAGAGACGACGGTGACGTGTCGGTCCGCGCAAATTGAAATGGGTATTTCATTTTGTGGAAAACCTGCGAAATAAATCACGCAGCCAAATTTTCCCGCAAAGTGGATATTTCTGATCGGAATTTATATCGGACTCCGAGGGTGCCCGTATTCCTTCTCGCGCGCATCTATCTGCGTAACGTACGCGTTCCGGTGAACATTTCCAGTATAAATGGATCGCGCCACACGACAAGCATTGCGATACACTTGCAGTCGTAAATTGAACCGTAAGAGGATTCGCACGTAGCCTTTAGCTACAGAAGATCGAAACTATTTATATGTACTACTATTTCCGATATATTTTCAGCAGATCACATTAACCTCTAGCTGGGTGAGTTCCTTTGATATTGCCCAGGATATAGTTTAACCCGGTATATACTTATATAAAATCTTTTTGTAAAATAAGAATATAAGCAATAGTGCTGCGATAAAGATAATGAAATAGAAGAAAAGTAAAAAGAAAACAGTTTAAAGAGATAAATAGTTTACGTAAATCATTATAATAATACAGCTTTTAAGAGGATTACGTATTGCAAAAATGTTCATGAAAGCTTTATAGTGGAGCTACTTGCGATCGTATGAGTTATGTTCGATATTGTAGAAATTGTTCCCAGAAACAATGACGCTGGATATGTCGACAGATGTGACGGTTCTAGATGTAAAGGAAGAAATAATCCATGTTTACGTACGAGAAGAAAATAAAAAATATGCGTATGCAGATGCGATACATTTTTCCATAAAACAAATGAGGGAAGGGAAGCTACATATCCCGTAGTTATCTCGGAAAGAGTTACGTGTCTTTTACTATCGAAGTCGGCTGTGTCAGTGAAGAAACAGCCGTCTGTGTCGTATTATAAATCTTCTGCCGACGTGAGCGTCATTTAAATTGTCGACCGTACAGCGCAATGACCGTACCTCGAAATGCTGGCGTTGCATAGCGCGTGCGCGTCATGTTACAGCAATTGCAGTTTCGCACGAGACGCGAGAAAGAAAAAAATTCGCGATTCGCTAGTCCGTTCATCGGCTCGACCCTTTTTTATCCCTTCTCAGTCGTGGAAACGTGCGCGGAATGATATAAGCGCCACGTTTATCTCATTTGTATACCCGCTAGACGAGAAGCGCTAAGCAACATGGTGTTTTATAAACGAGCTCTCCCACACTCACAATGCAGTTTTCCGTTTCCGTTTCCGCGGTCTGCAATGCGTTTCATGACAGGCTTTTCTGACTGACCGAAACAAATGTATCATATATAAATTTATATACACATTGGATGAAAAATATTCAATTTTTATGCGATAATTTTTTGGGTCTGTTTATTTTTCATTGAAGTTTAATTAAAAATTAAAAAATATCTTTATCTTAGATATTTCTGTGAGATTTTAGACAGAACTATATGTAGTGTGCAGCTTCTCCATATTTTCATCATACGATTAAAGAAAAAATTCACGTTAGCTTTACAGTTAAGC